CTGCCGGCGAGACGAAACGTGGGTGAAGGGGAGAGATCGTTAACGTAACATCTGACCCGTGAACGCGAGATCCGCGTTGCGGTTACACTCCGCCACTGGGGATGGAAACAGGGGTGAGAAAGATTGTAGTTTTCTACCGAATACTTTCCGAAAATAACGTTTATCATTCAAAATAACCGGTGAAGATATTCGTTGGCAACACGAAACCTTAATTTGTAATGTAGTAGAGGTAAAAGAGATCGAGCTGCGCGTTTTTCTTTCGAAAATTTCGGCTCGACGCCAAAATGGTCCAGAAATGAAATTTCATTTGAAGTGTACCTCCATTTTTTATGTTGGCAATCATGGTCATATAGTTGACAATCAAATTCGATAGGTTTTAACGCAGTAATAGCGGAAAAATATAGCATGGCAAAATGTTATTTGAAGATTTCACTGGTTCTGTCACATGTCTAGTGTGTTAATTATATCTAGTGTGTTAAAAATTTTTTCATCGTTTTGCGAGCACACGAGTAAATAATTTATTAGGGTCACTGAATGTTTAATATACGACACACCTACCTTTATTCAAAATATCGTAACCCTCTCTAATGGAACTGATTCGGTCAAGAATTATTGATTCCCGTGTTGATTTAAAAGCATGAAGAGTGAAATTTCGAAAATATCCTTTCAACGCGTGTGTACACGCGATTCCGCGTTCAACAATTAAACGACCAACCCCTGGACATTCTTCACCCCCCGAATTTAGCGAGTGAACACGGTCACTAGATGGAATCATTGTGAAACGATGAATTCAACCGCTTAATAATTTATTGCGTACGTAGTCTCGCACGAGAAGCTGCTACATAAATATTAACCCCGTAACGGGGGTTCCATCCGGTCCACGTCGACCGCAGTGAGTTTCTCGTGTCACGTACCCTTCCCTGTTCCCAACGGAGAATCGTGATCGCGGTTCCCGTGAATTTTGGAACGTATGAAATTTCGGAAAAAAGATACGTCGCTGTAGGATGAAGACAGACAAACCAACGGAGTGTACAGGATGTCCCATCTAACGTGAACACCTTCGATATCTGACTTGTTTTTGAAGATCCAAAAAAAATGTGAGGGGAAAGTATTATTTAGTTAGATGGAACAAATACTGTGATAAGAAAAAATATATATAAGTTGTCTGAACATCTTCCGTTTGAAAATGTCCAAATATGTTTGAACTGTGTGTCCACGTACCGCTACACACAGTTTCTCCGCGTCCAGCCACAGAATTTAATCCAGCAGTTTCCTGCACGCAAAGGCCAAGGTATAACAAGACCTGGAAAACGCCAAGGTATCGGAAAATGTTAAATAATTTCCCTCGTGAACCCCAAACAGCCCAAACAAGAGTCACTTGACCCACATTCTCCAGCACGAAATATCCGGCCGAAATCGCCGGGCGAAGACGCGTTTCGGAAATCAGCCCGCGACCCAGAAACATCACCTCCCCTCTTTTTGGACGTGTTTTACCGCGGAATTTCTTTCCATCCACCCCTGCCCTGTACCCTGTGGACCATCGAACTACAGCCGTTGTAGCCGTAAACATTTCTGGCGCCAACTGAACCGGTGTTTTCGTCCCGCGGCCCCGTTTGTTCTCAACGACGTCGAGGAATTATTATTATTGGAAGTTTCGCGGCTGATTCTCGAAGCCGCCCTGCTTCGCGAGATGTCAATGGATTTGGGGGTGAGGCACAGTATACTCGAGACTGTAATTTTCGGAGACCTTAAGCCCACCTGGGACACACGAGTATTCTTGTCGGTGACAACCCATTCTTTTGGAACGAACTTTCTTCTGACTTGTATATTTTACTGGGCTCGCGAGCAACTGTGTGTTTTGGGGTAGGTTATTCGGAGGTCGGAGGATTTTCGAATCGATTTGTGATAGATTCAGAATTTCTGTTGTGTGTATTTAATTGATATTTTGAAGTTCACTCGACAGCAGTTTTTTTTTATAATTGACACAACGTATTACTTTGGAGCCGCAAGATCGTACGATTGTATCTTTGTTGCTTATATATTCTTTATGGCATAGAGTTCGAAGAGTTAGTCTTTTTCACGAAAAAGATATTCTGTAAAAAAATTTCTAATGGGCCACCGCAGACCACAAAATGCGTATCCAGAGTTAAATGTGGATCTCTTTTTTCCCTCGTGTCGTTGAAACTCTGTACACGATTACCAATTCGAAATTCTACCGCAGACGGTCGCACATGGCCCGTGATTTATGAGAAGTTCACTTAATACGCCGGAGAAAGAAACCCGTGTCTCCGACAAAAGAATCATTAATCACTGGCCCGTGAGAAATGTGCACTTGCTCCGAGGAGGGCAGAGGGTGCTCGTCGTTCAAGACGAAACGTTTCGTAATGTATTCGTCCGCCTCAAGAAAACTTCTTTACCCTCCCTACTGTAGAATTTAATTAAACATTCAGACAGAATTCTATTCAACATCGAACCTGACGATTCCTATCTATATCCGATTAAGGTGCGATTCTTAATCTTCTGGATAAAATTTTGGTCATCCAATTTTCTTTTAGACGACTAATTGTATCTTTATCAAATTTTTTGAATAAGAAATCCAACCATGTAAATATATTTTAAAATGTTTTCTCCGCGATTACTTGTTCCGTAATGTCTCAGAATTATAATGAGGTAGTTAAAAAGGTCAAAATCCAAAATTGAAATGTTTCGTCCACTGTTCGTACCACCGTGCGTCGTCGTCAGATTTTCGTTCGCGAAAACTTCGTTATCCGTGGGTAGAATATCTCATTAAAATTATCCGATGAAAATTTTCATTACATATCCGAGTGAATCACACCGTTGCTCGTACACGTCCCAATTAAAATATTCTAATCCGTTGATTACGCGGGGACCGGTCCTCGACTTTTCGACGACGAACGGGAGAAGTTGTGACGGTTGGAGAATCTTTCTTTCTTGCCTGGAGTCGAGAGTAATGTGATTTTCGGGATTAACCGAGCTGGGAGCGAGTAGAGCAGTTTCATAAAACGGGGACCGAACGGTAAGAAGGGGATTTAATTTCGGTGTGCTGAAGTGCTGCTCCAAGGCACGCGCGGAGAAAGCTTCGATCGTTCGAATGGTAATGTCATGGGAAAATCCAGAGATTCAGACGAAAGTACTGCAAATCCCTCTTGAAAAATATCTCAAATTTAAAACGAACCGTTTTAATCAAATTAAACATGATAATTAACTGATAATTCAAATTTCATCGAAAGAATTTTCGATACCGATTAGTCGGCTATAAAAATTTAAGGAAGTTGGATACTAAGAACAATTATTTAAAAATATCTTCATTTCGGGTTATATAGACCCGAGGAGACCAGTAAGGTTAATAGAAGGATCAAAATGGCGAATTTAAACTGTGAAATACAGATAAGAATAGCTCCCAGTCACACGGAATTATTGTCTCCACACCTTCGTGCATTTACAATTCCAGCGGCATGCGCGTAAATTTCACCTGATTTTCTTGGCAACAAATGTCCCGTTTCATGAATATATATCATAATCTCGACACGAATATCAATAACCTTCCGCTCACGTAAACTACCTCGTGCGGATGGGAGAACGATGTTTTACAGAACACATTACTCGAAGAATTTTGTAATCACGTATCAATCATTTTTAGAGATCTAATCCTTCGTTTCTCTTGAAAATACACTATTGTGGGTGGGATAGAACATACATTCAGAAATTCTATTACATTTCTCTATAGATCCCATGGCTCGTGGCACCTGACGCTCGCGTGGAAAAACGCGGAAATCGATTTTTCACCACACCCCCTTCTCCCTCCATTGAGCAAACAATACGAATCATTTTTCGCTTCCTGTACATAAGGCATTCCTCCCTGAAGCTTTTGACCGACAGAAAGCAGTAGCTTCCGAGAATATCACATGTTAGCAGAGTGCTCGAAATACTTTTTATACCGCGTCGACGAAACAGCGAATCCCCAGGGGTCACGAAAACGATCGATCCTCCCCTATGATCATCTACTAACAAATGGATGTGTCGATGCTAGAGATAGGCAAATTCTGCATCCAGATAAAGAGTTTCGAATAACGAATAAAACGAGAAAAAAGTATTTCCTCGTTTTTAATTGTTAAAACGTGGAAATTTTTACAATAAAATACTCGACACTTGGCAAACAGTTATTCAATCTCGTTAAGCTCAGAACGCTACCATTAGATACTGCAGCTTTTCACTATGTATTATTCGAATAAAATTCTGCCCAACTCTGGTCGATGCTCGCTGATTCGTCGACGTGCCCCGCCGCGTGAATGTGCTCGAAAAGGTCCTTCCGGAGTCTCTGTAGGAGATTCCTTCTTACAAGCTGGGTAGAAATTAAAAATCGCTTTTTACAATTTTTTTATCCGAGACTGTAATGAAAAATTAATAAAAACATTTCGAAGATTTATGTTAGTCATATACATAGGTACTGAATCTTTTATTGAAATCGATTGAAACAGAAACGAGTGACAGATATCGTCGACATAAATCGTTCGAAGTGTATTTTTTGAAATGTCATTACAATCTGAGATCAAAAATGTATTGTAAAAAGCGACCTTTACTATTTTCTTCGCGATACCAACCACAGTCGCAACTTGTTCAAAGTTTAGTTCACACATTATGCATTAAAATCTTCTAACTTCGCAAAAAAAAAAACACTAAAATCACTTAGTTCAATTATAAAAAAAGTTGTTCCGTTTTGAGGGGTGTGCGAAGACTTTTTTAACTGATGTACTCGAATAGAAAAAAAACCCCAAAGGTCTTAGATTCCAATTGGTTGTTATTCGATCGCGAAGGGATGCTCGATAGGACCCCGACAAGGACCTTCGCGAGGCCGCGGATTGTTGAACCGCGCGTTTAGTACCACCGTTTCTCCGCTAGGACCATCCCTATCTTTCGGTCCGTCTCTGTCTTGGAGCTTGCTTGAAGCGTTGCATGGCGGGTCATGGTTAATGTTTCAGGCAGCGGCAGCAGCGGCCGCAGCATCACCGTTGCTGAAGACGCCACTCTCGACCGCCCAGCAGGCCACCTACGCAGCTGCAGCGACCTACACGGCAGTGGCTGCGCGCGCATACGGCGCAGCTGCAGCTGCGGCACAACCGGTCGCAGGATATGCCGCAGTCGCGGGGTAAGCGCGCAACCCTTCTTTACCTCTACTGCCTCTACGATCACCCCTCCACCCCCCTGGGGCAGAAAGTCACTGTTTGCTGGCCAAACTGAGACGACGACGAGTCTCCTCTTCGTCGTTTCAACCCCTTCACGGTCCCGTGTGCCACCCTTGACGTATTCACGAGCAAACAAAGCCCCCTCCAGACGCCATTGCGCTGCTCGATGGATGGATCGTGACATCTATCGTGTCTTTGACGGATTGTCTATCCCCTGTGGTGTACAGGGCGACGGGGAAGTAACGTACACGCTTTGATTCGATTGAGAATTGTGGATCCCGTGGTGAACAATAGCGAGAATTCTTCGCCCAGGTCTTAATACAATGTCAAATCAAATAAAGTTCGACGAGACTGAAAAATGAAATTGATGCACTTACAGTTTTTTGGGGGGACGGGGGGGGATATCTGGTTGATACTTCCTTTGGATATTGATTTGAGGGTCAATCTGTTACAAAAAAACATCCAATGAATGATTATTATTGGTCGTCGATGCGTCAAAACAATCCTTCCCTACGTCCATAACGTGTTAAAAGTCGTATCGGATCGTGAAAAATGAATGATTTCTCCCATAAAGAAACCCCAACGAAATTCGACAATAATAAAAAATAAAAAAAATATGCATAAGAAGAATGTTCCTTACAGACGATCGCGGCGTCGTGGCCGAGCTCTCAGAAGTCGCAGATACCTGGAAACCCAGGCCCGATCCGATAGTCCCACCGTAAATCCTGATAGTCCCGTTGAAAATCTTTAGAGACACGTCCTGCGTTTGTATCTCCTTTTCTCTAATTATCCTTTTATACAACGAAGAACTCCTTCTACATGTAACCCCTTGACGCGCACAAGCTTGACTAGTACAGTTTACCAAAACTACCTCGCCTACCACAAACAATGAAAAGACTATTAACATTTCTGGCCAATAAAGAGCCCAGAATCATGTGATATGGCAGTGTCCATTATTTAATACACAGAGAGCTGACTTACTTAAAACTATTAAAAAATGTAATTTTCAAATCTAAATATTTATAATTAACATCTGAAATGTTAAATACCCTTCTGGAAATCGATAAAGTCAAAACTCTACGTAAAACTCATGCAAACCATATAACTCTTAATTGAGAATTTCTTTTGGGCAATAAAAAGAAATTGAAAAAAAAAACGTGTGCGTCAAGGGGGTTAATCTTCGATTAAATTAATAAGGTACAAATCGAACTAACACTTTGCTGCGTTGATGTTCCAGTTATGGACGTGAATACGCCGATCCCTACCTTGGACACGGTATTGGACCAGTAGCCGGATATGGGGTAAATTCCGATTCTTCTAGCGATCCTAACACCGGTCGTTCGCGGTACGACGATAGTACGACCGTACGAATCCTGTTTTCCGTTGTTTTTCTTATTCCAGGCGACAGTCTACAGGGGCGGGTACAACAGGTTCACGCCGTACTAATGATCGAGACGATAGAGAAGCGTGAGCCTTCCAAATACACCGTTATACTCAGCAGAACATGACCAGAAGTCGACACAATCATCATTCGTCATTCGCCACCGATCACGATCACCCCACCCACTCCACCCACATACACACACACATACACACACACACTAAGCGATGCCTTGGATCCTCAGTGCACGCTGGATCAAGCTGGCCTCATTTTTTTCACAACCACCCCAGCCACAATATGGTGAACATTGTCCAGACTCGACCCACGAAGACGCCTACGAACTCCAAACCAGGTGGAAGAACAACGATCTATCTGGAAACAACATCTTCCCGTTCAATCCACAGAAGAATCGTGGAAAAGACAGAGGCCTCGAAGCAAAATTGTTCAGCGACCGATCGGGGAAGAAATCTATAGGGACTGATCTGTCGAGCTTTAGGAGATATATCCTTTGAATTCGAATTAGATTCTAAGAGCAACCTCGAATACGGATCTTCGATCCTCTCCCAAAGGTCCGTCGTGGACCTTTTTGTCTTTGAATTTTCTCTGATCGATAATAAACTGGACGAGGGAAGGGAGAATAGCATAGACACCGGGGCAAATTGGTAAATTGAATTAGCACAGAAAGATGACCAAAGGTTAAATCGTGGTCACTTGACTACGGTACATCGAGCATGCTCGGTTCGAAGGGAGAAAATGTGTAACATGCGACGAAACAAATCAGAGGATATATGCGATAGATCGAGGCGTCTTCTTCTTCGATGGTGCAAAATTCACAGACGGGGAAGGGAAACGTGTGTGTGTGGCCACATCGTCAGCGTCGTCGAAACGTGGTCCCGTTCTCGCCCCCGAGTCCGGGCCCGGCAGCCATTCCGAGCCCATATTTTTCGTGGACGTCGGTGTCTCTACGTGTGTGTGTGTGTGTATATATATATACGCGTGTATATATAAATATATATATATAAATATATAAATAGATGAATGATCTCTCTAGAAGTCGATTGTAATTACGCGGATTCGTTTGCTAGTTGTGCACGTTTCAATGGGGAAAGGGAGGGAAATTTTCGATCGCGTACTCCAGTAGGTTTTTATCCCGCGTGGCTAAATAATACACATTTTTTATTGCGTTTTGTATACGGATACGCTCGTTCGAGAGATTAAAGTGGAATCCAGTGAAAAGAGAATAATAGGAAAAATGATCGAATCGACAAGAAATTTTGTACATAATTCAATGATCACTTCCAGGACTCGTTTGTTTTCGAACGAAAACGTGGGTAGCTACGTTCAATCAATTAGTTTTCTTTTTATTTCTTTTCTAATCTGTCGCCGCGATTCTATATTTTTTGTTTTCTGTGTGGTTTCTCCTTCTATTCGGAGATGTGTGACGGTGAGTATGAAAGTGAAAAATCTAAAAAAAAAATCGAACGTATTACTGCTATACTTGGTGTTACATCGATTTACGTTACAATAATATGAAAGCACATTTTTGCAAGAATATTCAATTCGGCCACTTTCATAATCCACCGGGCACATCTCGTCGAGGCTCTCCAGAGAGTCCGCTCCGTGCTTTTCACGGTTCTGTTTTGTACGGTACGGTGCATATGGAACACGTTTGCAAAATGGCTGCCGGAAAGGAACTCGTCACTGTGGTTGTCGACAACAGTGACATGCGACTCCGTTCAAAAAAAAAAACAAAAAAACCATCAATCGACGCGCTCGGTGATTTGGATCAGATGGAAATATCGAGAGGAATACACGCGAGACCCTTGTAGGTAGCTAAACCAGAGAGAGAAAAAGAGATAAGGAAAAAATGGGTACAAAGAACGAAACGAAAGCGAGCAAGGGGCGGTTTACGTGTGACCGGTAGGGTTTCTATGCCAAATATGTGTGTATGTATGTGTGTATGTACGTATGTGTGTACGCTGATGTATGTGTGTATGTGTCTGCGCGCGTAGATTCACGAACCGACACAGTTGAAACCGAAAAATCGTCTTTGGACACCCAATGATTCTGCCAAACAGGATCTAGTCAAAAAACTACAATCTCTACCGGTTCCCCAACGAACACGAAAGAACTGAACACAGCTGTTCTGTTTTAATACTCACGGTCTCATCGACGGTAGTCCGATTGGTTGGTCGACGTAAGGACATGGTATACTTGCCTTACGAAGAAACTACGAAACAGTCGGGTCTAGGACCTATTGAAGACTGTCGATCGAGGCCTCTCTGCTCTCTTATCTTGCCATTCTGGTGGAGCGGGGGGAACTGGAACTGACGTCATTGGCCAGACTTCCTTTTATATTATTGGTGCGTAATTTTACTTGATTTCAACGGGTATGTGGAACTGTTCTTCGAGGCTGGCAGGTAAAAATAGTTAGAGAGTTGACTTTGAAACGAATACTTCAGTATGTGACTAAGTACTGGGTCACCATATTTTAATATTTTTGTGCTAGTGGTGTAGAGTGGTTTGGTCAAATTTCGTAGAAGGATCGAAGGACGAACCGATTTTCAAAGGTCTTTTGCAACGTTTACCAGATTGAGAAGCTGCCCGGAATTATCATCAAATGATAGTTGCGCGTATGGAATCCGTGCCCCAAAATCAAAAGGATATAATTAATAGATATACTCTTTATAATTCGTAAATTTCAATTATAATCGATAATTTCAAATCACGTCGTTCCAGTTCCATGTTCACCGAAGTGTTGTTAGCTAGCTTTCGAACATCTTTTTTCTTTGTTTTGTGATTAAGTAAAAATCTGTAAGATTGATATTTGTCAGCGAGTGATCGAGAACGCTGGATCTTCGACCAGAGACTGACCCACCATTTTGAATTTCCCAGCAACACATCGTATAATCTTCTCTAAGTTCCTCCGAGTCTCGAATCATCCGGTTATCTTGACATTTCATTCGCTCTTTCCACCGAGATGCGTTCTTCCTACGGACTCACATTTTTACGTTTAGGAGATGAACCTTGAATAGATTCATCGAGAGTTTATAAGTTCCTTGATTCTCCAACCCGTTCTCGATCACGGAATTTCTTTATTCGGTTATTCTCGTTTCCGTCTTGTGATCGATTGACAACAATCGAAGACAAACCGTACACATACATACACACGGCAGAGGACAAACTGACACACACACACATACATACACATACAGAGTACTCCTTTGTAAGGGTAACACAAAAAGGAAATGGTACGCACATTGAGCCGAATGAGTGATAATCCCTGTTAAATTCCAATTAAGTGGAGATTTATCGTCATAAATATATATACAGATAAACCGTGTTACGTGACTCAATGTGAAAGCATAAGTGAGAAGTACAAGCGAATGAATGAACCCGAGTGAAAGAACGAGACAAGGATGGGCGGGAAGAGGAAGCGACAAATTGCGCGCTGGGAAAAAATAAAGGGGATACAAGATACCACAAGTGTGTGAAATAGCCAAATATGACAAAGATGCTTTTACTTTTTCTTCGATATTCTCACTATTTCTATCTTCTCTTTTCTCTGATTCTCTTTTCTTTTTTCGTTTCGTTTTACTATTCCTTTTTTTCTACATAGTAAAGCACACGGCAGGTAGTAGCGCCGTCGTCGGTTTTGTTTTCGTTTTTTTTTCTTTTTCTAAGCTCGTAATCTATCGATATAGGTGATATAGGTCTAGGCTAGATTGTAATAGACGGGGCCCGTTTTTTCTCGTCGTAGAATTGCCCAGGAGGGAACGGAGCAACCCCCCGTTATAATACCACCCTCGTTTCTCCTTACTTTCGCGCCAGTAGTACATGTAAATACAACAAACAGGAATCGACCGTAAAAATGATAATTATTATCGATCGATCCGATCATCGTCGAGCACAAATACAGAAGTGGAGGAGTAGCAGGAGGAGGAAAAGGAGAATTATATGAGAAACCGTGCGCCCACGGGGTCGGCACACCCGGGTGGAGGCGCACAGTTTCAAGGGAGCTACGACATTCAGGAACGGAAAACTCGGAACATACTCAATGATTCTTGTAAACGTTTAAATTAACGAGCGTAGATTTTAAAGGAGACTACAGATGAAGAAAAGAAAAATAAGAAACTTGGTAAATATGCTAGTGATACGAGAGAGAGAGAGACCGAGAAGTGTACTCGCGAGGCCCCCCCTGTATACACCTCGACGGGAAATGGCCGAACACGTGGTTCAAGGGTTCTGTTATTGTTACAGAGGATCGTACACCGGTTAAGGCCATTTCTCGTGACCCGCCACGGTCGTTTTTCGCGCCAGAACGGACGTTTTTACTTGCACGCAACGGTCCCGTGGATCTGCATGCTCGAGAGATATTGATATTAGGGGAGAACAAGCTAACACAGTTGATATTAACCGTCGTCCGTTCCGTTGGGTGTGAGGGGAGGGGGGACGCGTAGCAGGCCATTTGAGGCCATGGCGAGAGACACATCTATCCCTGTATATTGTATACTGTAATTACAATTTATACTTACTCGTAATCGATACCTTTATCGGTAGGCTATTACTATTAGCGGCTAGCGTAAGGTCAAGCTCAAATTCTAGGCGAGACCCTTTCGTCTTCGCGTCTTATTCTTCGTCACGAGTGCACAACTCCCCCCCCCCTGTCCCAATTCCCCTCCGATCACACAGGCCTATCGTATCTTGATGTCGATGGATTCACGGCTCTCACGATCATCCTTGCCCCCCACCCCCCACTTCTGACCATGTTTTACTACATCTATTTCCGGTTACTGCTTTACGTCTCGACAACGGCAGGAGTATATTATTGTATACGTTTCAATATGACGTCGAAGCGACTGATGACACGGTGTCTCGAATAATTGTAGGATCACGTTCGAGCATGATTGTTAATTAAAGATAAACTCGACTCGAACTCGTAATTTAACGATAGTTTATTTGCCCGCGTTTTCGGGACCTAGGAGAGTATTTGAAGGTGGGGGGGGGGGGGGGGATCTGCGGGAGGAATTCAGCACTCGAAGTGAATCTTGTAATAATACTTCTATCCCCCGTATTTAGTTCGGAATAATTTAGATTCAAGTCTACGTTTGATGGGAACGTAAATGTTTAACGTTGTTCGAAGTTTTCGATGAAATGTACCGTCTGTTTCTCATAGTTTTGAATTGCTTTAATGTAAATCTTAAATTAGAAAAGGAAATCGTTATGACAATTGTCCGTGGAATAACAGGCTGTGCTCGTACACCCCCAAAAACGCCATATCCCTTGTATTTATTTAAAATCAGAGAATTAGATGAAGCGGGATAGGAT